GTGTGTGTGTGTGTAAGAAAATGAGTAGTATGAATAGTAAAATTTGATATCAGTATTAGGGGTTGCAGCTGAAGTGATTAGTTGATTGACAGAAAAAAACTAGCAGCTATTTTGTTACTTGTGTGAAAAGGGTTAATATTTGCTGATTCCACTTTCTCTAAAGTGAGGATTTGATGCTTTTTTTTTCTTTAGTAATCATTGTCATTTAATGAGATAAAAAGAATCTTTGGCTCTGGTGAATTATAATATTAATTCTCACAATTTTCTTACATTTCATACAAAAAACAATTGAACAGATGAATCATTAATGGAAATTGATTGTTTGTTGCAGCCCTAATCGTGCTATGGCAGCATTTATCATGCGTCACATGAAGGCTGGTCCATAGCAATGAGAAGAATCTTGAATAAGTGTCCATTAGTATTTAGACAGTGTGGTAATGAGAACCCACCTACAGAAACTACTAAACCAGTCAAATCAGAACTGTAACAAAACATCCACTAGACGGGACACCATGTCTTTTGGCAGCAGCGACAGTTCTCAGTACAAATCCAATTTTCGGATGAAATGATTTTTCGTTGTCGCAGTATCATAGGAAGGTAGCGGGGAGGAAAAATGAAGTGAAACTGTATTCCATGTTGAGGACGGCAGGCTGGAGCACACATTGTGGCACCATGGTCACTGGTTTGATTGTCATACCTACTGAAAGGTGTAATCGCTGTCAGCAGATGAGTGAAAACACTTCGGGTCACATGTACACTTTCATCATCGCTGTCTGAGTCCCGCGTGAGCAGCAGCCCTTTGACTGACGGAGGGATGTTAGACTGCAGATAACCCTGCCGTCTTCAAAGTCACTGCTGTTTGTTTCAAGCTGAGGAAGGAACGATAAATCATTCCTTACAAAAAAGCAGCACGCACAAAATGTGTTCATGGCAGAAGTGTAAGTGGTAATGTAGCTGACACAAAATGGCAAATCTAGATTCAGAGCATCTGTTTGCGAGCAGTTAGCCCTCAGTGGCTACTGGCAACATACAGCACGTGTACATCACGTACCTGCAGCTCCTTCACAGTAAAGTCTTTGTCTGCCTGTAATGCTACTGTACTTCAACTACAAGGCTTCAGGTTGACAAATTGGATGCCTGTTAGTGCAGATGCAATACTCAGTGGTATCGGCTCTTTAAATGCTTGCTTCCTGCATTTTACTGCCATTTTAAAACCTATTCTAGCTAAACATTTATATATTTTTTTCCCTTTGTGTGTCAATGAGTGATTTGAAGTCAATATTTTGGGCTCCAGTAATTTGTGTGTGTGCATTTTTAATGATTTTCTTCAATTATTGGCTGATTAATCTAGATCTGTAATGACTAGTTGATTAATCGATTAGTTGAGCAACAGAAATGTATCAATTATTTGTTCCAAAGTCATTTTTCCTCCAGCTCGTCAGTTGTGAGGATTTGCTGCTTCTTTGTCTTATCTTTGTGGTTTGGGGCGGTGTTGTTGTTTGGACCAAACAAGACGTTTGAAGGCTTCTGGGAAATGAGGTTTGTATTGTGAGAAATTGAGTCTTTACTATTTCCTGACATTTCATAGACAAATTGATTAATTGAGAAAATAATCCGACGATTGCTCGATTAATAAAAGTAACTTTAAGTTTAAGCTCCAGATGAATCAGAAATGATGAACATTATCTGCAACCCTACACAGAGAACTGATATTGTCTGACTCAGGTGTGGATGGTATATAAGTGCACTTCCTAAAATTGTTCCTTTTTGAGAGGTGTAGCACTTCATTGCACTTCACAACTCAAGCCCTCGATTCCCAAGGTGCCCAGCAGCAATTAGTGTTTGCTGGTGTCTGTCACTAAACAAGCATTACACTTTCAGGCAACCGAACATACGGCGTGTGGTTTTTATTCCTTTTCTTTATGAAGTATGCCTCAAGTGCCTAAAATGCTTCCACACAATGGAGGAGATGTGTCGACCTCTTCTCTTTACACTCTGTCCTTCAAATAAATGTCCTAACCGAACGTCCTCTGGAGAATTGTCTTTTACAACAATGGATAGTGGTCCGTTGAACAGAAGGTCTTCTGGCTCGAATGGGAAGCCCATAGCGCCTCGTCATCACCTCCCCCTGAAAACAAAGGGAGTTGTGGTTCGACCCTCCTACTCATCACATGCATCTCTGCCCTCCTCTGTTCCTCACACACACCTTCATTAGACGCACTGTGGTGCCCCTCTTGTTCTCACCCATTCACTTTTTGTCACCTTTGCCTACACACACACACACACACACACACACACAGGCTGAAACAGATGAACACACTGGTCTTTACTCTATTCAGTCACAGCTGTAATTGGGTATGTGTTGTGCTTGTAGCATTAGACCTTACGGTTAGCTTAGCCACCTGTTCATGTGTTAATGGACATAGTTCCCTCACTGCAGACATTTACACGTGCACAACAACATGAGGAACATTTGATTATAGTGCTTACGTGGCTTGTTGTAGCTTTGATTTGATGGTTTTGTTTAATAAGCGCCTGCTAACATTGTGAGAGCCTATTGAAAGTTTTGTGCCACAAGATAACTCCAAACAAATGATAAGACTAAGTTGGCTAATGGTGCTTTAATGGCTACAACGAAATGATGACAATGATGGAGATTTTAATTGAAAAATTAAAAAAAGAAAACATAATTTGTAGGGATAGAAATCAGCCTGGACTGAACCATCTCTATCATGATCAAGGTAAAATAAATAGCACCAACCATGCTGGTAACATATGCAAGTGACTTTTATATAGGCTTTACTCAGCAGCTAAAAATGTAAACATTGACTCGCCATGTGGCAGGTAAACAAAAAAGTATATTTTGCGCCCTGAAATTGTAACTATTGGATTGATTGTGACTTTCTCTTCTCTTGATCCCCAGAGAATGAGTCACCAGCAGGTTAACATTTGTGTTTTAAAGTTAATTGTATCAACACCTATTTGATGGATTGGCAGGAAATTCAGTAGAGACATTCATGTTGCCCTCAGGATGAATTGTAATAATAACTTTGGGGATCCTTTAACTTTTCATCTCGCGCCATTATCAGGTCAATTTATCCAGCACCTTGATTTATGACAAAATACCTGCACATCTAATGACTTCAGTCTCAGCTGTGTCTTGTTTTAAGTGTTTAATACCAGTTGTTGGCATTCTCACATCAGCATGTTAACACTGTCATTGTGAGCATTTTAGTATGTTGACTATTGCTGTAAGAAAATAAAGTTACACTTGAGTATTGTGATATTTTGTTTT